ATTCAGTCTTCGCCCTCAAAACTTATTATAAACTATATTTGTGGTAAAACCTACCTTCCAGAGTATAGTTTGTAATATTAACTACATCAGCAAATACCAGAATCATATTTTTCTGAAGTCTTAAAGATGTATATTGAAGAGATGATATTCTCCAAAGTGATAGGACGTATTAAAAAAAATACCATTTCTGAAAGAACATGCTGAATCTACATGTACCTATGGAGATATAGATATGATAAAAAAAAGATGTTTATTATGATAGACATGAGTAATCAGATATAGTGATCTATAGAAGAAAATGGCTGAGTAGAATGTTTATGTATAGAAGATATATGAAAAGCTTCAATGATAATATATTGGATATTGTATTAGAACTCCAGCTCAATTCCAAAGAAAATGAATTTATATAAATAATGTATGACAAATACCATTTTTATACAACAGAAAATCTGGATTAAAAAAAATAAAGATATTTTATGCTCAAAATACATGGAATATTCTATTATGATTTTAGTCTTTCTTTGCCTATATCATGAATTATTACAGCTATCTGACAAGCAGATGCAGGCAAATTCATATATAGAATACAAGGAGATATTTATTCTTCATTCTATATAGTCAGATAAATACTGGAAATTGGAATATATATTAGATCAACTTATGCAGAAAGCAATCCTGATCTTTGAGATATTATATTCCAAATGCATTTGTATTTTCTGTTTTAACCAATCAATGAATCACAATATCATGACAGTAAATGCATTGATTATGACAAGAATGAATCTGAGTTCTGAAGAAGAACAATCTAAAATGTATAATAGATGGTACATTAATAAATGTGAAGAGAAATGTGATCAATTAATGATATTTTCAGATAATTATCTAGTGATAAGATTGAGAGAATAACCAAAAAAAATCAAATAAATACTTGAAGAGCGTAACTTATAACTAGCAAAAAAAATTCATTTAGTATGTGAATGATACTCAGAGAAAATGATGATAATTCAGAAATTTTGAACTGCTATACATGATGAATCATGTCATAGCAATCTGATTTTTGTGAACAACTATTGATACTTGAGGAGATAGTCACTGAAGCAGAACATATTTTTGAATATTATCCCAAATTTCATTGCAAATGCAATTTTATAAAGAGATACTGGGATTACGTGAAATGAGAGACAAGAAAAGTATGTAACTATAATTATGCTAACTTATTACAGCAAGTTCCAGAGACTCTTATTAATGTTCCTGTGACAACAATTTGCAAATTTGCTTGCAAATTTTGAAGGTATATAGATGCATATAATAAAGGGTTGGAAGGTAGAACCGCTGAGTGGGCCATCAGCAAGTATAAGTCTCATCATCATTTGCCTGAAAATATTGAAAGAGAAATGAGAAGTAATTAGTATTTATAACTTTGAAAATATTATTTAATCATTGCAATATTATTGGTCAATCGCAATTATGCGGAAAATTGAAACAATTCACGTGATTGGCGATTATAGATTTCCGGCACCATAGCAATAAAAAAATCGACATACCTTTATTATAACGCGCGTTAAGCAACAAATTTCTCAAATGTCAGAGCCTAACACTACACAGGATACGATTCTCATTCCGCCAAATCTTTATTATAAAGGTGAGTTGTCCCTTTTTATGTCGACTATAGCACGCAAAATATCCTAGACTGCTTTGTAACTTCCGATTTGCAGAGTACTGGCTAAATACCAGCTTTCAGGATTGGTCTGTTGAGTCGTTCGATATATTTTGGATCCAACAAAATCCAACTCTCCATCAAAGGCAAGATCGAGCCCATACTTCGTTAGCTATCGAGTTGAAAATTCTCTCTGAAGCATCTGATCAAAGGGTGGCAGAAAAAGCGTTGTTGTTACATAAATCATTAAAGGTTAGTTTATTGTGAAAGAAGGAACGTCAGGCAAGACTGTTTGTCAGCTTTTAACTACGCCCCTCGGTGCGTTCGAGGAAGGTTGGGTGCGTTCTAACCTGATGGGGAAGAGAAGCGCGATGGCTTCACTCATCGTGATTCTTTCGCGTGTTTATGTTGACCGGGTGTACTACGCCCCTCGGTGCTTTCGAGGAAGGTTGGGTGCGTTCTAACCTGATGGGGAAGAGAAGCGCGATGGCTTCACTCACTATGTGATTCTTTCGCGTGTACATCCTGCTTGCAGACATGCACAAAAGATAATATTGTGGATTTCCTAAAGTTCTTACTGCTTTTACTATCTTTTTTACAGTGTAAGAAATCAGCAGAAATCATTGATATTATCTGGGACCAGAGCAAAGAAATTGCGGATTCAAAAGTTCGTTTAACACTGAGTGAACTGCTAACCAAGGTGATTCGAAGTTGAGGTGATGTTATTATAAATATCACAATTATTTGCTTACTATTTTGTTTTCTTAAATTTTCAGACGAAAATTAAGACAAATATTATCGGTGAAATCGGAGATTTAGGAAGCAAAAGGTATTTCTTTAAAGGTCACGCGAGTGTTTTTCTGAAAGCCATATCTAATTTTAATTCCGTTCATATAAAGTTCTCCTGATGCAATATCAGCGGTGCAACCTCAAAATGAAAAGAATCGCAACAAGCACGCTATAAGAGAAGACAGCCAGTCGGATGATCTGTTCAAAAAAATAAATGAAGATGACGAGGAATTTCTTGAAAATGTTGGACTTCTATTTAATGAGTCAAATGAGGAATCAATTATCGAGAAAGTTGATGAGAATTCGCTATTGGACGAAGTTCGATTGCCATCAGTAAACATTAATAACAAAACATCAGAGGTAAATCTTGTTATAAATATTTTATGAATAAGTATTCAACAAATTTATTATTCTATTATCAATAGGAGTTCCTTGATACAAATACAATCGAGGCATTTAGCGAATATCAAAAAAAGATACCAAAAACTCGCAAGGCTTTGACGTAAGTTTAGAACCATCATTATAAACACAATTTCATCATCCTGCTTATTAATATTCTATACATGCTATTCATTAGCCCTGCGTATTGGGGAATATTGGATTTGACGAAGGAGAGTCTCAAAAACTCAGGTATAAAGGATATGGCTATACAAAAATTATCTCAGGATTTTTCAAACAAAATTGGATGGAATGATGTTACAGCCCCAAAAGAAATTCAAGAATATTTCGACAGAAATTGTGTTGATGTCGATAATATCGATGTCATCAAAAAATTAGACAGGAACGTCCAATTCATGTATGTATATTAATGAATACATTTGTAAATTATTTTGTTATTTAATGTTCCTATTTATATATTATTTAGGGTAGATAAATTGCCTAAGCTACGAAAGACGTGCACCGAAGAAGAGCTAAAAATGTCAACAACATTTCCATTGTTTTCAGGAATTTTTAATTCGCCGTATATAAATAATTCTTGGTAAATAGATCATTATTTTTTTGAAATTCAATCATTTTACAGTTAACAATTATATCAAAAATACAGGGGTGAAATTCGGGCAATCTCGACAAATAAAGCACGGAATGAAGAACAAAATCCCTTCATGAAGGCTAGAATTGGACACAAGGTTGACATGAAAGGAACCTTGGTCAAAACGCCGAATAAATTTGAAATAATATATGGCGAAATTTCCGGTGGTTTGACTTCTTTTGGCTTGCCCGCTTCCTGTAGGAAAAAACAATATGTGGACAAAGTAAAACTTATGGTGATGTTAAGGGATAGTCTGAATCAATTCTTTAAAAACTATTTGCACGTAACAGACAAACAACGTAAAAAGTTAATAGTCTACGGTTGGTTGCAAGTTGGTAAGTTTGTTCAATGTGATATTTAGTATATATTAAAAAAATATATTAATATTTTAAATGTCAGGAGTTGAGCTAAGCTTTTACGCTATGGATTGGATTGGATGCGGAATATACAGATTTGGTAAATTAGATAAGTGCGAATTACCGGTCGATGAAGGTGATTTAAGCATCCTTGAGGATGCGTACTGCATTCTTAGGTTGCTAGAGGTAAACCACTATACGATTTATTAGTATTTATTAGTATTTAATCGGCATTTTAACATATGGAATCAATGTAGTCGAAATCGCTTGAATCAGAAAAAATCATAAAAGAAATCTTACAAAATAATACGAAAAACAAAAGACGACGTATGATGACAGAAAGTAATCCTCATTTAAATAACCGAACTCCTATTAAATAGAGATCGTTGTTTGTGCAATAAATACTTATCTTTACAATATGATCCAATTTATTACACTTTTTGTAAGTGATCCTGGAGTCAATTAATCGTATAGCTGACCATGATTAACTTTGGTCATGATTTTCTATGATGTAAAAAATAATCAGTCATGTAAAAACGAGAACTCTGAACAAGATATTTTACAATTATTTTCGGAACTTATGGGTTATGAAGTACAAACTAATAATCATTCTCATAGAAGGTAAACAACATAAATTTTCAGCGGGACTTGATTAATAAAGTTTTGTTCCATAGTTAGTAATATATAATTTAAGTTCAAAAACATCACCTATAAGCAGTATCACTAATGTTTGGTCGTAAAACTTTGTATCGGCCAGTAGAATCAAAATTATCGTTGAGTCTTGGTAGATCCACCAAAAAAAAATTCGATTAGCCTTCGGCTAAATGCGCCAATCACGTAATGCATCTCGATTCCGAGAATAAGCAATTTTGGCTTTATTTTCTGAATGGATTGCTGTGACAAGCTTGTCACAAGGGCGCAGTAATATGGCGCAGTACATTATTTTGCTTTCAGAATTTAGCAATTACCGTAAAGTCCCGATAATAAGCAACCCCCTACGTCATCATTTTTGAGGTCAATTTT